ATAAAAAGATGGGGTCTATTTCTACATGAATAGATCTTGTGTACATCATGTCATCGTTCTTATCGCATTACTCCGTTTCTTCATGAGCCACTAGATGCATGTTGGATGCGGTCGATGTGTGGAGTAATAGTAGTAGATGCAGAGTCGTTTCGGTCTACTAATCTTAGACGTGATGCCTATATACATGATCATTGCCTTGGATATCTTCATAATTATTTGCTTTTCTATCAATTGCCCAACAATAATTTGTTTACCCACTGTGTGTTATTTTCTTGAGAGAAGCCTCTAGTGAAATCTACGCCCCCCGGGTCTATTTCCTATCATATTGTTTTCAGATCTATTAATCCAAAAACCCAAAACTACCTTGATGCACTTTTTATTTACCTATTTTAATTTTTGTTTTTGTTAGATCTATTTATTCAATCTCATACAATCTAATCTATCTCAATACCGAGGAGGGATTGACAACCCCTCGTACGCGTTAGGTTGTAAGTTTTTGTTATTTGTGTGAAGGTACTGCTTACATAGTTTGGTGGATCCTCCAACTGGATTGATACCTTGGTTTCATAACTGAGAGAAATACTTACCGTTGTGGTGCCGCATCATCCTCTCCTCTTCAGGGGAAATACCAACGCAGATACAAGCAACCAGGAAGAATTTCTGGGGTCGTTGCTGGGGAGGATCAAGTCCAGAACTATCAGGTACCCAATCACAAATCTCATCTCCTTGCAATTACTTTATTTGCCATTTGCCTCTCATTTTTATCTCCCCCACTTCTAAAACGTTTTCAAAAAAACACAAAAATATTTGCCTTCTTTTCGTTGGCCTTTTTTTTGTTAGATCTCTTGTTTGCTTGCAATCTTGTTTGCGTAGTCACGTTGTCTCAAGAAAATACCAAATTGTGTGATTTTTCCAATACTAATAATAATGATTTTATTAGTACACCGATTGCTCCTCCCGCCGCTAGTGCGGAATCTTATGATATTAATGCCACCTTGTTGAACCTTGTTATGAAAGAGCAATTTTCCGGTACTCCCAATGAGGATGTCGCGTCCCATCTAAACACTTACATAGAATTGTGTGATATGCAAAATAAAAAATGTGGACAATGATATTGTGAAATTAAAACTATTTCCTTTCTCTTTAAGGGATCATGCAAAAATTTGGTTTTCATCTTTGCCTCGCAATAGTATTGATTCTTGGGATAAGTGCAAAGATGCTTTTATTACTAAGTATTTTCCCGCGAAAATTAGCTTCCTTAGAAATCAAATCATGAGTTTCAAGCAACTTGAGCATGAACATGTTTCGTAATCTTTGGGAAAGAATGAAATTAATGCTAAGAAATTGTCCTACTCATGGTTTCTATGGATGATTATACAATTTTTTTATGCGGGATTGAATTTTGTTTTTAGAAATCTTTTAGATTCCGCCGCGGGTGGTACTTTTATGGAAAATACTTTAGGTGAAGCCACTAAATTGCTTGATAATATTATGACAAATTATTCACAATGGCATACTGAAAGAGATCCTACTAGTAAAAAAGTTAATTCAGTTGAAGAAATTAGCATTTTGAGTGAAAAAGTTGATGCACTTATGAAATTGATTGCTAGTAAGAATGCTCCTAATGATCTTAATGATGTGCCCTTGTCTACTTTGATTGAGCAAAATAGTGATTCCGTAGATGTGAATTTTGTTTCGCGAAACAATTTTAATAACAATGCTTGTAGAGGCAATTTTAATCCTAGGCCTTTTCCTGGAATTTCCTCTAATGATTATGGCAATTCCTATGGTAATTCTTCTTATAATAATAGTAGGATGCCCTCTGATCTTGAGAGTAATATTAAATAATTTATCAATGCGCAAAAAAAATCCAGCACTACGATAGAAGAAAAGTTGAATAAGATTGATGATATGTCTAGGAGCATTGATAGAATTTCACATGATGTAGAAAATCTCAATATTAAAATTTCCCCACCTAAGGTTGATGTCAATGAATCAATTAAAGCTTTGTATGTTTCCATGGATGAAAGTAAGAAAAGAACCGCTATGCTTAGAGCTAAAAGAGAGTTTTTAGAAAGAGCATTTTCTACTGATTGCTTTCTTAGTAATGATGAAGATGTTAAAATGATTGGTGTTTCTTCTATTGATTTCTTGCTTAGTACTATTAAACTTGATAATAAGGGGATTGAATAAGAGTCAACTTTAGCTAGAAGGCGTCCCCATAGTTCGGAGGGAGAAAATCATGTTGAAATTTTTGATAAAAGCGGGTTTGGAGAGGTCAAAACTTTAACTAGTGATGTACCCACTCTTTTGGATTACAAAGACTTTAATTATGATAGTTGTTCTTTGATTGAGTGTATTTCTTTGTTTCAATCCGTGATAAATTCACCCAATGCCTATGAACAAAATAAAGCTTTTACTAAACATATTGTAGATGCCATGCTAAAAGCTCTAGAAGAAAAGTTGGAGTTAGATATTTCAATTCCTAGTAAATTATGATGAATGGGAACCCACCATTAAAGTCAAGATAAAAAATTATGAGTGCAATGCTTTATGTGATTTAGGTGCTAGTGTTTCTACAATTCTGAAATCTCATTGTGATGTGCTTGGTTTCACTAATATTGAAGAATGTTCTCTTAATTTGCACTTGGCGGATTCTACTATTAAAAAGCCTTTGGGAAGAATTAATGATGTTCTTATTCTTGCAAATATGAATTATGTGCCCATAGAATTTATTGTGCTTGATATCAATTGCAGTTCGTCTTGTCCTATAATATTTGGTAGACCTCTTTTGCGAACTATTGGTGCAGTGATGATATGAAAATAAGGGAATATTAAATTTCAGTTTCCTCTAAAAAAGGGTATGGAACACTTCCCTAGAACTAAAATTAAGCCACCATATGATTCAATCATGAGGGCAACTTATGGAGCAAAAACTAAAGATGACAATACTTGAATCTATGCATTATGACATTAAAGGAAGGGTGGTTTCTTCTACCTCGCGGCCAAGGACCCAAAAGGGAGGCAAGGGAGAATATCAGGTACTCCCACCCTTTGGGGTGCTCCCGGTGCACCAATGCCGAAAAACATTTTAAAAATATTCAAACAATTCTAAAAAAACTTAGCACATTGACACAACATTGATGCATCTTGTCACAAAATTTCAAATCAAAATTCAAAACATTGCTCGAGATACAAAAATGACAAATTCCATAGTAAATAGTACATAACATAAGTTGGGCTTTAGATTTGCCCCATTATCACATTGATGTCATGTTTGTCATTTTTGTATCTCGAGCAATCTTTCGAATTTTGATTTGAAATTTTGTGACAAGATACATCTTGTTGTGATTGTGCTAACTTTTTTCAGAATATTTCAAACACTTTTTAAATGTTTTTCAGCATCGGTGCACCGGGAGCACCCAAGGGGTGGGAGTACCTGATATTTTTCCAGGGAGGCAATGCATATTCACCATGGGGTCCACGACAAGGTGACATGGAGGCTTCGTCGCCCCAAGTGATGCCATCCCCGGTGATGATGAGATTGCGTCCATGAAGAGGATGCTAGGGACCCAATCATGTTTTCCATCTGGTTGTTGTTGGTCCTCCATGTGAAAGTCAAGCACACCTTGCTCTTTAGGTTTAGTTTTGGGTCTTTTTATAGTTGCGTGTGTACCACCACTTCAATATTATTTCAGCTTCGGGGTCCTTCTGGACCCTCTCAGGCTCTCTCGTTCAAAAGAAAACAGAAAATACCATCCATGTGCTGTCCAAATGAGCACCAAGTTGAAAAAAATTGTTGCTGGATATATCATGGGCAAATCCTAAACGGCACCCTCTGCGCTCGTTACAGGTGTTCGTGCAATCGAGCGCACACCCACCTCTGAGCTGGGCCGACCCGTTTTACCTTTTTTGTGTAAAAAAAGAAGAAGCACGCGCAGAGACTCAAACATGGGATCTCCTTATACTCGACATAACGCACTAACCACCCAGCCGCTACGCGAGTTGTGCTCAGTTCTCCCTTTTCTTCTTTTTATTTTGTCTTTCCTTTCTCTTTTTCCCCCTTTTCCTTTTCTTTTTATTTTTTCTCTTTCTTAAATTCGTGAACTTTTTCTCCAAAATTGATGAACCTTTTTCAAACTCTTTTTTTTCAAAATGAATGAAAATGGTGACTTGTTTCAAAATCGATGAACTTTTTTTCAAAATTTATGAACATTTTTTTGTTTGATGAAACTTTTGTTCAAAATTGATGAACTTTTTTTCAAATTCTTAAACTTTTTCCAAAACCGATGAACTTTTTTCAAATTTGATGAATGTTTTTTTCAAAATTGGTGAAGTTTTTTTCAAAATCGATGAAGGTTTTTTTCAAAATTGATGAACTTTTTTTCACATTTGATTAATGTTTTGTTCAAAATCAATGAACTTTTTCCAAATTTGATGAACTTATTTTCAAAGTTGTGTACTTTTTCCAAAATTTCATGAACTTTTTTTTCAAATTCGTGAAGTTTTCTTGAAGTCACGAACTTTTTAAATTTGTATGAACCTTTTCAAATTTATGAATTTCTTTCAAGTTCACGTTTTTCAAATGAGCAAAGTTTTTTCGAATCGCCACAGTACTAAAGTAACTGATATCGCTACAGTACTTGAAACGCTACAGCCCTCGCGCCCTGCTACTGTACTGTGCAAATAGGCCGGCCCAATCGGGACAGCCTTGTGCGCCAGGAAGGAAAACTGGCGCAACAGGCGCCGATTAGGAGGTCCCTATATCATCATGGGCCTATCAGCTTCATTCGGGCTGCATCAGTGCCGGCCTGTTTCGATTACTTTATAAATATAAAAAGGAAAAAGGAAATGCCATATTTCTTGACGCCCCCAAAACCCTAGCCGCTTCTTCTCTCTGCCCACTCCCCGCGCGAGCCACAGACGGCCGCCGCCTCACCACCGCTGAGACCTCCTCCTCCCCAGGCAGGCGCGAGAGTATACCCCAGAATAATACCACCATGGCCGGCGGCAAGATCCAGAAGAAGCGCCACGGCGGCGGTGGCGGCGGCGGCGGCGCGCGGCTGCAGGGCGGGATCCCGTTCGAGAAGTCCAAGGGCCAGCACATCCTGCGGAACCCGGCGCTCGTGGACTCCATCATCGCCAAGGCCGGCCTCAAGCCCACCGACACCGTCCTCGAGATCGGGCCCGGAACGGGAAATCTCACCAAGCGGCTGCTCGAGTCCGGCGTCAAGGCCGTTGTCGCCGTCGAGCTCGACCCGCGGATGGTTCTCGAGCTGAGCCGCCGGTTCCAGGGCCACCCCCTCTCCTCACGCCTCAAGGTACAAGAACTCTTCTTTGTGGCTCCTAGTTTTTTCATATCTATGGAAATTTTGTTTTTCGCAGATAATTCAGTACTATAGGTTTGTGCTGTGCTGCTATATCTGTTTTCTACTGTGCTTGCTCTGCAATTGACTGCTCAGAGATTGTTTTTTGGCGGTAGACGGAGAATTCGGGGTTGTATGATGTTGGGCTCATTTAGCTGAACTTAGTATGTGTCTTAGTAGTGCCATCCTGTTTTTTTCTTTAACCCTGGTAGTTGAGTTAGTAAGTGCTACATAGTGATTGTTCCTGTCAACCCGGAGCAATAGCAATACATCTGTGAGGGGAGTTTTGCGCCTACACCAATTGACTATTTCCATATTCTTGATTGTTAAAGTTACTAGGCACTGTTGCATATTATTGTGAATAATTGTAGCACAATACTGTATGACTCATCAGCTAATATAGGGTACTATTGGTGTGTTAGGAGAACTAAGATTGTCTTGATATGATGGGCATGATTTAATTTAGAAGTAAACTGCAAATTTGGATTATAATATACAGTGATCAATGAGTTGTGGTACCGCTGATGACTATCAGAAGGGGAGATGAAACAAAAACAATCAAGCTTATATCTAGTCCACACTCTTTCATGAATCTTCAGTTCTAATTTGAACCAATTGTTTGTTAATAAAATGAGTATTCTTGTGAACCATGATGCAGGTTATCCAAGGGGATGTTCTGAAATGTGATCTTCCATACTTTGATATCTGCGTGGCAAACATCCCGTACCAGATATCATCCCCCCTTACATTCAAGCTTCTGTCACACCGTCCGATCTTCAGGTGTGCTGTGATCATGTTTCAACGTGAATTTGCCATGAGACTTGTAGCACAGCCTGGAGACACTCTGTACTGCCGTCTGTCAGTGAACGTGCAGCTCTTATCTCGCGTGTCACATCTGCTGAAGGTTGGGCGGAATAACTTCAGGCCTCCACCCAAGGTAGATTCTTCAGTTGTGCGCATTGAGCCAAGGAAGCCCCTCCCTCCCGTCAGCTTCAAAGAGTGGGATGGGCTCGTGAGGATTTGTTTCAATCGGAAAAACAAAACCCTGGGCTCCCTTTTCAAGCAGAAGCGCGTTCTTGAGTTGCTAGAGAAGAATTACAAGACAATGCAATCTCTCCAACTTGCCCAAGAATCTGAAATGGGCGAGGAGAAGATGTCACCTGATGATGTTGCAGTGCTGGCCAATATGGTCGAGGACCTGAGCGTGGAGACCAATGACGAGAAAGAGGACGACGACATGGAAATGGATGACGCTGATGCGGCAGACGGCCGTGCTAGCTTCAAAGAAAAGATTATGGGTATATTGCAGCAGGGTGATTTTGCAGAGAAGAGGTCTTCCAAGCTGAGCCAAGTTGATTTCCTGTACCTGCTGTCTCTCTTCAACAAAGCAGGTATACATTTTTCGTGAGGGCCTGCTTTAGTCAGCTAGCTTGAGATGGATCTTGAAAAGCCGTGTTTATTTTTTGCCCCATGTTCTGTAAGTCCTAGTAAAAGTTAAAAGCCATCTATGTGATTTTGTGCTCTGAAATATTTTTGACACCGTCGGTTTTGCCCCAGCTGTAGTAGAGAACTCAAATAATTCCAAGGTAAGATGTTCAAACGGGGTTGTCTATGCCTGTTATCCTTGCATTTGTATGGTTTGATATTATGCCCTTGTTGAGGGTGTGAAGCAGATGCAAGTTTAGTCGCCATTTCAGTATTTGGTACTCAGAATCGAGCTGAATTATCAAATCTCTCCTTTACTACTCTCTCTGTCCCATAATATAAGAACATTTTCTTATACTCCCTTCGGTCCTTTTTACTTTGCGTATTAGATTTGTGTCAAGTCAAACTTTGCAACCAAATTTATATTAAAAAATACTAACATCTCCAATACCAAATATATATGCTATGAAACTATATTTCACAATTAATCTCACAATATTAATTAGTCATTGTGATTGTTGGTAAGTTTGATCAAAGTAGGGATACTTTGATTTTGGACAAAACTTATATGCAAACTAATAAAGACCGTGTGGAGTATTAGAGCAACTCTAGCAGACCCCTAACTGCCAAATTACGGGTCGGGGCCAGAAAATCTGGACGAACAGACCCTGCATCCTGCCTCGGCCGGGGTGCGGCAAATCTTCTCCCCCAACCTCTATCTTCACGGACTGGGAGGCCGACTCGAGCTCAACCCCTATCCCGTGCGAGATTTGGCGGGAGGGACGTTTTCGCGCGGCCCTTCCCGCTCCCCATCCTCTGCCACCATTGCCACCATTCTGCAAGCTCCGGCTGCTCCTCCCTGCCGTCCCTCGCCGCCATGGACGACCCCATGCTGTCACCCGTCACCGCCGAGGTCGCGCACGCTCCTTCCCCTCGGGCGGATCTCGTCGCCGGCCATGTTGGCCCTGCCGCCGTCGCCCAAGCCCACGCCGCGCCTGCCCACAAGCGGCAGGGCAACGTGGTCGTGCAGGACAGGAATCCGGCTGCCCCCGCCGCGATGGCCCATGCTCCAGGCGCCAACGCGGCAGCGCGATCCCGGCCGGCGGTGGAGAAGGTCGGCAAGGTCGCGGGCGTAAAGCGAAGGAAGGTTCCGGCTTCAAAGAAGCCACCTTCTTCAACCTCTCGCTCCATCCCCCCACAAGGAGGTGCTCCGGCGATGCTGTTCAACGGTGCCACTCCTCCTGCGAGCGAGGTGTTCGACGAAATGGCCGGAAGGTATGCGTCTTCGGTCTTGGCGATCCCCTTTCATTTTTCGCCATTATTCTCAATAGCGCGTGACTTAATATCGTTCGCTATAGCGGTGGTTCGAACAATGCAACAACCAAGTTCGTGAACTTGCTGGACACGAACGCGGTTGACATTGATCAAGCCCCTTTCGAACTGTAACACCCCGGTGTAATGATGCTACAGTAACCCCTGGAGTTAAGTTAACCTTTTTGCTAAACATGTGCCTGATCATTATTATCTCATGTTTCCTTCAACTTCCCCTTTGAATGCAAATTCAAATGCTAAGTGAAATTCAAAATTTCTCAAACATGAAAACAAAAATGTTCATCATGTGCCAAATATTCCACAACTAATATTGGTGGTGAACCAACATTTTGCAAAGGGTTTAAGTGGCCTAAACTACTTAAAGCAGTGACCTAAGCAATAAATTAAATGCCTTTTTTAATTTATAAAATTGGCAACTTTTCCAAAAGCCTCCCAACCTTTTTGTGGCAATGCACTTTATTCTTTGAAATTGTCTTGGCCAGTGGCATAATTTTGCAAGGTCATTTTTGGCTAAAAAGAAAATGCAAAAGCTGCTGAAAATAAAAAAGAAAAACTAAAAGAAAAAGGAAAAGAGAGAGGAAAGAGGAACCCCCCTCCCTGGACCGAACCCACCTGGGTTGGCCCACCTAACCCACCCGAGCCAGCCCGGTTGCCCCTCGCACCGGTCTCCCTCCCGCCCTGTTCCTCGGTCTCAGACCGCTACAAGGGCTCGTCGCCGCCCGACCACCTCGCCGACGACGACGGCGGATAAGGCATGCGCCTCCGCGCCCCCTCGATCCCCTCTCCTACTCACCTCACCAGTTGCCCCGCTCCGCCTCTCCCTCTCCCCATCAGATTCCCCCTCGCCCCCTCTCTGCTTCGATTTGGGCGGATGCCCGAGCGCCACCATCGCCGCCGTTCGCCGTAGCCGCGGCCACCGTCACCCATACGCCGCTCCGTCAAGTCCAGGAGTCCGGCGTGGCCCTCATCTTCTTCCTCGACAATGGATCGGGACCGGGAGGGCCGCCGCCGTCGCAGTCGTCCTCTTCCTCCTGTACGGCCACCGCACGACCTCGTCGTCAATCTGCAGCACCGGTCCTCCCCGAGCCCACTACCCAGTCCCCACGCTCCCGCGGTGAGCTCCTACGCCGAACGCGCCCGTCCCTACCCCCTCTAGTCGCCCGTAGCCTCCGCTTCGCTAGCGCACGCACGCACCGCCGCCGACGAGCTCGCCGTCATGGCCTTCGCCATTGTAACACGCGGCTGAGCCTCGCATCGAGCTCCGGGAGCTCGTGCGAGTCCAAGGCCAGCACCAGCGCACCCCCCGTTCCTCCTAGCCCTGTTTCCACTAGCGCCCGAACTCCAGCGCTGCGGAGCTCGTCGCCGGCGCGTCTCTGGTGTCCAGTTGGTCACGGGCGTTTGCCCGTTAGCTTCGCCATGTCGCGCAGCTTCCGTCTAGCCCTTTCACCTGCGTCGTAGCACACCGAAACTCTGTTCTGTCGTCACCCGTACCTGCTCCGCCGCAAACCTCGTCGCCGGCGCCCTTTCCGGCCAAGTCCGGCCATGCCTCTGCCACCACGCGGCATCGTGCGCGTGTTCGAACGGTGCCAACCGCACGCGAAACGGCCGCCCCTAGCACGTTTCCGACGAGGCCCGAGCGGCTCTGCCGCGTCCTAGCATCGCCGGCCCCAGTCAACTGCTGACTGGGCAGCCCAGTGTCACTGACAAGCGGGCCCCACCGCACAATTAATTTGATTGAAATGTTTTTATAAATAAAAATAATTAGTTAACCTAATTAGTCAGAGACATGTGGGCCCCTACTGCTAATTAACCACGTTTAATTAAAATAACACACTGTTAGCCCTCTGTCTATGACATGTAGGACCCACTGGTCAGTTTGACCAGTGAGCGGGTATGTTGACCTGCTGATGTCATGCTGACACTCTGCTGATGTCATAGTTCCTTTTCTGTTAATATATATAATTCCAAATATGTTTTAAACTTGCAAAAATCATAGTAATTAAATCGTAACTCCGATGAAAATGTTTTCTACATGAAAGTTGCTCAGAAAAATCCAACGAATCCGGATACATGGTCCGTGCATCTGTCACATGCCCCTAGCATGCTGAACTTGGAACTTTCCCCCTCTTTTCCTTTATCCGGAATCCACCTAACGTCGGGAATTCATCCTCGGATGTTTATCCCCTCCGTCTGCAACGTGAAGTACTACGTTAGGACAACCCTAGCTCTGCCCGTCGTCATGTAATGCTTAGTGATGCTACTGTTTGCTGTGTATTTACTATTTCTTCCCCCTCTTATCTTTGATAGACCCCGAGACCGCTGGTGATGCCCCTGTGATCGACTACGTCGACGACGACCCCTCCTTGCCAGAGCAACCAGGCAAGCAAACCCCCCTTGAGCATTCTGATATCGCCCATTCCTTTCCCTCTCATGCTTTCATTAGAACTGCTACTGCTTTTTGTATGATCCTACTCTGATGCATAGCCTGTTGTTGTTACCTGCTTTCATACCTTACTTGTTTATCCTAAATTGCTTAGTATAGGTTGGTTAGAGATCCATTAGTGACCCCACCTTGTCCCAGTTGCCTCGCTTTATGTTCGATGACTCGATCAACGTGATTGATGTACAGGCCCCAACACCGCACATCACACCCCCCTAGTTGTACGACTCTGCAGAGTTACCATCAAGTGCCGGGGGTGGAACCTCATACATCACTCCTGATGAGATCTCTGTAGTGTAGCTATCCGGTCATGGTCATCGAGGGTGATTTCCTCCTTAACCACTTCCGTTACGGCTCTGTCGTGCAACCCCTCAAGCATGAACCTCGAGGGTGGATCCTCTTACATTCACCTGGATGACAACATCGAGTGGAATTCACCGGGGGTGATTCCTCGGGTTTTCCCCTTGGTGTTAGACACAAAGTTACTATGGTTATTATGACTTTGCACTGAGCCATGTTACTAAAGACGGGTCGGCCCTAAGGGGTACCCGCGCGAGCTTAATAGCGAGTGATGTGGAGTCGGGTTGACCTGGAAGGTGCCCGCAAGATACTTACGAGGCGTGGCCGGGCATTCTTAGCCCTTGCCGCAAGTACTCGAGACGGGGCGACGGGGTCACATCGATCATGAGTCTCTGCTCGTTACCGCGTGCTCCTAATCCACTACGGTTTGGATGTTTGATCCGAGGGGCCTCTGGCCTGATAGCACTAACCATCACGTGGGCATTGTATGGGCGTTCTGTGTTGTATGCATCAGCCAAAGCTTAATTGACGTCAGCGACTGAGCGGCGCGCGCCGGGTTGGACTGTGTAAGCTCCTGCCTTGTTTAAGGAGGTAGCTAGGCCGCTCACTGGCCGCGTACGCAACGTGCAGGAGTTCCCAGGGAGATGGCCCATGACCCCTGGGGGCATAGGTTTAGTCCGGCGTGCTTGACCTCTCTATTAAGCCTAGATGGTGATATTAGAGTCATGCTAGTGGGTAGTTGTTGATTAGTAGAAATACTTGTGTTGAGGTTTGTGATTCCCGTAGCATGCACGTATGGTGAACCGTTATGTAACGAAGTTGGAGCATGAGGTATTTATTGATTGTCTTCCTTATGAGTGGCCGTCGGGGACGAGCGATGGTCTTTTCCTACCAATCTATCCCCCTAGGAGCATGCGCGTAGTACTTTGTTTCGATGACTAATAGATTTTTGCAATAAGTATGTGAGTTCTTTATGACTAATGTTGAGTCCATGGATTATACGCACTCTCACCCTTCCACCATTGCTAGCCTCTCTAGTATCGCGCAACTTTCGCCGGTACCATAAACCCACCATATACCTTCCTCAAAACAGCCACCGTATGGCATTTCCATAGCCATTCCGAGATATATTGCCATGCAGCTTTC